CGCTCGGACGGAGGATGCATACCGTCCGGGTTAAATGCTATTTCATGCGACACGCATTCATGGACTACGCTATTTCATGGACACTCCGATATTATATTTTATTAGTTTAAAACTAGATTTACGAAGCACACAAGAAACAGCTGTTTTATATCAGTTTATGAAAGTAACAATAAGGTATTTATTCTGATTTTTAACAAGCGTTATTGCAACATTTGCTGGAAGTAACGTATAAATTGAATAAATAACTCGTAAATGTATCTTTACGATATAAATAATCGATACGATTATATTATTATTAATTATATTATATATTATTATAATAATAATATATTATAATTATATTATATATTATTATAATAATAATATATTATAATTATATTATATATATTATTATTAATTATATTATATTAGTGACCCGCCGTTTGGACGGGATTCGTAAATCCAGTGTAAAAATTGACTCGCTTTTGGTACCTTTTTTGTAACAAAGCATATTGATGATGCATAGAACGAGAAATATTTATTTATTTGAAATGTTAAGTTAGATAACTTGACAGATAAGACTACAAGTCTACAACTAGATAAGTTAGATGCTTTAGACAACGTTTATATCTATACTTTAATAATCCGTGAAGCGAGTAAAATGATCTTGTAGTCGAGAATGTATATTGTTATATTTCTTGGCATATGTGTGTGCGCGTGCGTGTGTGTGAGAACTCGGAAATTCACGATGCAAACGGTATTCAAGATCGGGCAACCATAACATTTGGTTTCAGATAATACTCCTCGTCGGGTATACGAAATCAATCCAACGGGGCGGAACAAAAATATTTAAACATGAGATCCGTCTCTATTTTTGGCATACTGCGAATAAAATGTTATTTTAAAATCTTTTCCCATATCGGATGAAATGCTCGATGTTTACGGTTGCATGCAAAATAAAATAAACCATTTAATATTTACCACCCCGTTCTTGCTTTATTCGTATGAATTCCTGCCGCAATTTTTAATAAAAGTTCATGCAAAATATTTGCGAGCTGCAACAAACATATTCGATATTTGCAAGTCTGGAAAATTCAATTATCAACCGACGTTGGCCATGCATAGTTCACCAACGTATAACAACTGTCGCTTTTAGAATGTTTAAAACGTTAGTAGATATTACTACACAGTGATCTTGCAACATAATCCGCTGTTTCATCTCGCCGTGCGAGCACATCTAAAAATTCCGACGTACAGTGGCCTACAAAAGTGTTCGTACACCTTCTAGAACGTAATAACTGTTTTTAAAACTCAACCAAACGACTTGAATTTTTTTTAGTTGATAGAGGGACTAGTCTGCTAGACGATGACTGAAATGCCTTTTTTTAATTTTGTTGTTTCTTGAGGTGATAAAAAGAAAAATATATATAAAAAGCTCTAGCTTTGTAACTTTTTTATCCGAGCCTATAACAAAAACTTAAAAATTGTCTTTCGTAGATCGATTAACCCAGAATCAAGCTACAGGCGTTGAAAGATTTAAAAAACTGCAAATTTCTACCAGTTTTTGGTCAAAATCGTGATAAAATTGCAATTTTTGCCATATTCAATTTATTGTAACTCGTAACAACGTGAACCGATTTCGATAAAATTTTCATCATGCACACAAGTTGCCGAGATCCACGAGAGGCATTTTTTAAATTTCCGTTATAGGCTCCGATAAAAAAATTAAGAAACGAGAGCTTTTATTTTGTTTTCCCAAGTAATAGCAAAATTTAAAACAAGCATTTTGGTCATCCTCTACCAGACCAGTCTCGCTCTCATCTAAAAAAATTCAAGTCACTCGGCCCAGTTTCAAAGAAGCTATTATTGCGTTTTAAAAGGTGTACGAACACTTTTGTTGGCCACTGTATTCGCAGAGTATCGATGGCCCAGAATATTGGCATACGGACAAAACGGTTCATCGAAACACGAAGAAGTGACTTCCGAACAAAATAACACTGACGCTCGGTCGCTCGAGCGGATTGCATACCGTGGCATCCAACGGGCAGTTGCGTTGGCGAAGACAAGCACTTGCGACATCACGAAAGAAGAAGAAGAAGAAGCAAACGAAACAGAACAAGGCAGGTGCGCGTAGTCTAAGAAAACGTAGGAATGAAAAGTTTCGTCCGAGCAACGTTCGAAGAAGTTGCATCGAGAAGTTTTATGAACTATTAAAACTGCTCGCTCGTTTCGCCGCGGCCCTTCTATTTTTTATTGTCAACGTACTCGCCGACAGTTGTCCCGCGAATGCTGATCGCGGGCTGTTCACGGGAATAACAAGTTCCGTCGTAGGATTCTTCGGCGCGCTGTCCCACGTTCCATGGATTTTTGAAGGTTACAGGCGTGTTGTTACTCTGCCTTTCCCTTCGGCCGAATCGATGACCCAAATGCTTGACGTAGGTCGCTGCCAAATCGATACACGAGAGACGTTCCACCCACAAATAAAGTCACTCTCCTCGGCCCTCTCGTGCGTTTTCTACGCTTTGATGAGCGTGGAATATTGTCTGACACGCGAAACCTATTCGTTCGAGTGTGCTCGTTCACGAAATTCATTCCGATTCCAGTAAAATGCTTTCACGACAGACTCGTTCGATCGACGATTCGAGACTGCGGAGAGAACTTCGTTCTACAGGGTGTCCGAAAAATGTCTCGCAATCCGGAAATGGCGGGATCCTCGGATCATTTGAAGCAGCTTCTTCCTTTACAAAAATGTTCTCCGAGGCACCGTTAACGAGTTATTAACGAAAAACAGTGACCAATAAGAATCGAGTACGGCTGACGCGAGGCGGCCCAGCCAACCAGCGCACGAAGCTCAGTTCCGCTCATTGGCTCGGTCGCCTCGCGCCAGCCGAGCTCGCCTCTCATTGGTCACTGTTTTTCGTTAATAACTCGTTAATGACGCCTCGGAGAAAATTTTTGTAAAGGAAAAAGTTGCTTCAAATGACCTGAAGAACCCACCACTTTCGGATTGCGAGACATTTTTGTGACACCCTGTAGAACTTCGCTTCAATTTTTTGGAGCTCGTCTCTTGATCGCGGTGCACCGGAGAACTAATTTGCAATTCGTTTATTAGACAATTTCTATACGCGAGAATTGTTTTCTGAATTTCTCGAGCAGCATGCGTGGAATACGAAACGAAACTGTCTCTTTCTCGAAAAGCTCTATTTTTATTGTTGCACGTCCCCTTGACACAATATTTACGATACCGTACGGTCTATCATTGATCTTTCTCGAAGATCGCACGAAGAACCCGAGCCAATATTTAGCATGATAAAACAGGTTATTTGAATTTTACAACCTCGGATTACACAGAACAATGTTCCTGAATACGAATGCTGGGCGGCGACGATTAGTATTCAGGACTAGCGTGACTACATGGACACTGTGCCACTGTAGTATGTACTGGTAACATTAATTGCGTCGTTTCAGCGTACTGTCTTCTCGCCATTTTTGCAATCAGTATATATTCTAGTAGACGATTTGAAAAAAAACACGGACGACACTCGCGTTCTAATGCGGCGATAGATATGCTAAAAATGTCATCAAAATGCATCGACAAATTAAACGAATTGTGCGCGATTGTGTAAGTCCCGTTTTAGAGGGTTGGGCAAATTTCGATCGGATTGTGAAAATACGCATGAGGGCGATACGTTCGAAAATTCGGCGAATACGCGTGCCGCTGAATAGAAATCAACTGGCATTTCTGATCATGACCAACCGGTTTTACTTCCTGTGAACCGACATTACAGTCCGTCGAACAAGACGAGTTAGTAGATGTAAACGAAACGGCTGCAGGATATTCGCATCCTCTAAGCAAAATCGATGCCGGCGACCGCAGCTGCTGGCTGTTAAATGTAGAGTTTGGGACCGACTTTCAGCAGTTGGAAAACTCGATGTTCGTGTGCACATTGTAATCACCGTGGAATTGTTCGTACTAACCGATCTGTCTCGTTGCACGGATTACAGTAATGTCTCCCATACTGACGCTCAGATTACAGTAATGTCTCTCTAATTGACGCCTAGATTGTCCACAAAAATGGACAATTTGGGAAGAGGAGATACGATTATCCGAGCCTTGCAGTTAATTTTTATAATCACGAATTGTCAACAATTATAATAACGAGCCGCAGTGCTCGAATAATCGTGTCTCTTCCAAAATTATCCATTTTTGTGCACAACCTGAGCGTCAGTTAGGGAGACATTACTGTATGCACAAAAATGAACAGTTCGGGAAAAGGAGACGCGATTATTCGAGCCTCGCGACTCGTCTTTATAGTCGTTGACAATCGACAACCATAAAAGACGAGCCACAAGGCTCGAACAATCGTATCTTCTCTTCCAAAATCGTCCACTTTCGTGGACAATCCGAGCGTCAATTAGAGAGACATTACTGCACATCGCATATGAATTCTCGTTCATTCTTCTCGAAAACGAAGGTTTTCTTTTCAGAGAAGAAACACCCTCTACCTGCACCTTACGGTACAGTTTATGTATTAATAATAAATAAAAAATTTCGCAGTAATAAATATCCATCTGAATTAATTTCAAAACGTACCATTAAACGTAGAATCATCTCCTGATTGTATTAGCCCGTACAATTTACAAACTAATTCGCATCACTCGATAACTATCCATCTTAATTAATTTGAAGTCGTACATCTAAGCGCAGAATTACTTCCCGCTTGTACCGGCGCGTTAAATAAATTATACATTAATTCGCATCCAGCAATAAATATCCGCCTGAATTAATTTCGAGCCGTAGAACCGTTTCCCGACCGTCTAATAAAATACAAAGATCCCGGCCGTATAATAATTCCTACATCAACTCGCGTCCCTCGATAAATATCCGCCTCGATTAATGTTCAACGAAACATCTAAATAAACGATCGCAATGTTCCGCGCGCGTCGCGGCGTCCTCGCTCCGAAATGGAGACGCGGATCCGCGAACAGCAACGGAATCGCATAATCAAGGGTCGACGTACCGTCCTTGAAGGGGCCGAATCGCAGCAGGCTCATTTCAGGGCGCGATGCGATGTCCCGGCGAAGCAACAGGAGAACGAGCCGAGTTAAATCTGCATGGAGCCGCGTCCTCGCAGGATGGCCGAGGTGAATCCGGTGTCCTCGGCAACTGGGTCGTCCTCGAGGTTAGCAGCCGCCGGGCGTGGATGGTCGCGCGATCGGATTCCGGTCGATGTCACGCGGAATATTAAATCCGCGGCGAGCCGTTCCGCATTAAGCGTTGCCGCATCGTTTCGCGATCCCGCGGCACATTCGATACGGAAGTCCTGCTTTTGTCCAATCAGCGGCGGTCCCGCGGCCTGAATATTCACGAGGCGACCGAGCGGGGTCCGCCTCGGATTTCCATCGAGGCGCCCGGGCCGGCTCGAAACTGGCGCGTTTCTAGCTCGAGGATAAGTTCCGGGAGGACGAAGAACTGCGAAGGTCGATCGATCTTGGATCGAGGATCTAATCCTGCGATGCTCCTTCTCGCTCGAGAGTCCTCGCGACGGACCCTGGTCGAGGCTGCGACGAGGGTGGCTGTCGAAAACGGTCCTGACTGCTGCGTCCCGCGCCGGGAAACCGGTTCCGTAGACCTCGTCGGTAGCTATCGACGGCTATTGTCTGTGCATTGGGAGCGAAGCGGGTTCGAAGAAACGTGTCGCAACAGCGACGATCAGCCGGGACCTCGAGCCGGAACGGAGGCGATCACCGCGGCCGATCGATCCCTCTTGGCCGCGGATCGTCGTCTCACCCCGACCACGCTCGAGCGGTGGTTAACGACTGGCCGGCACGTGAAAGACACACCCTGTTAGGTGGGCGCGACCGCCGCCGGTATTTATGCGAGCCTACCGATGTTTCTTTAATCACCGTTTGCCCACAGGTGTCCGTCTTCGCCGGCGATCAATGATTAATCAACCTGCCCGCGATCGCTGCCTCGGCTCCGCCGCGTTCTCCGGGCGTCGTTTAGCTGCCTCGGCGCTCCGCTCCGCGAATCCTCGGCGCGGAAAACCTCGGCGAGTTCGGCGGAAAAGCGGAACGGGCCGTTTGCTTTTCACCGGCGATGCACTTGAACCGTATCGCGTGACGCTGCACACGGACAGTCAGCTGCGAGGCTTCCATCGATCTACGGCGTATCTATGGCTAATCCAACGTGTCCCGCCGCTGCCAACGATAGCCCCGGACTCCGTCTGGCAATCGTAATCACGGCTGGCCAGAGGCCGGAGTCGGTCGCCCGCCGCTGTTACGTCCGTTTAATCGATTTCCCGGCTACGCGATTCTTGAAAAATGCTGACGGCGACGGTACCCTGCCACGCCTTTACGACGATTACCGCGGAACGACAGAAAACCACTGGTTGTCGCTGTGAACACCTAGCCGCACACTATCCTATCGTCGGGCGACACAACGACGAGAGGGCCGCGTTACACCCTCCGTTTCTGGGAACTATTAGGTCGGTGCCGGTGAGATTCATTGTTGCGTGCGGTTCACCGCCGAGACTCTGCTGGCTTGCGAACGGCTCGAATATACGGGGCAAGGGCTATTTTTTCTTTTTTTTTTTAGATTGGAGGCTCCAGTTTCGAGGGCGATATTGCAACCCGAAAATTGACGCGTGCAAGGTCGCCTGGGAACCGGCGATCCTCGAGTTTGGGTCGGGATGACTCTATGGGTCTGGTCGTTTGTACGATGGATTTCGTTTGGTTTAATGTTTAATAATTTAATAGTTGTAATTTAATAATTTAATAATATTTTAATATTTTGATAATTTAATAATATCTGAATAATTTGATATGATGGCAATTTGGATTTGCGAATAACTGGACTGCGGATTTTATGCATTTATGATAAAAATGCTTAATTAAAGGACAGCGTAGTCAAAGAATTTAATTTCATAGAATATTTATCATTTTAGAAAGTTCAATAATAAAACGAGTAATTGTAAGACACAGGGAAATTTTATGAATGCTATCGCTTTCACTTTAACGACAGTATTAAAAGGAAATGCACATTTTTATTTCACTCTGTTATACAAGCGATAGGAACAATTTTTATTTTGCACGAAGATCCGCAGTCTAATAATAACTAGGTTGTAACAGCAGTTCCAGGAAAATAGTTGATGGAATTTTGAAATCGGAGAAGAGTTGATCGACGAGACGATTTTCTATTAGATTATGTAGGAAGTACGAAATTTTTCTACCCTTAGAGCTCTCTGCAACTTCGACCCTCATTCATCCCTCGTTTCTACAGCATACCATTCCCTTAATTAGCACAATTGATAACGGCCATTTGCAAAATTGAAACTATGTTGATTTCCACGTCGGAAATGAAAGCTTGGAAGAAGATTCTAACGAAGCGATGAAAGTCAAATCGACGCTCGGTATGGATGAGGGTTCGCGATCGCAGCGAGAAGTAACGCGTGTTTTATTCGAAATATGAAAAGCATGAACTGATTTCCACGAGACTGTTCTAATAAAAATGTTCCGCGACGAGTGCTCTTTAGACCGAAAGTATTTTCAAGTACCGAGTACTTCTCAAGTTTTACTTTCGCTTCCGTCACAATTATATCGTACGACCGCTTTTTTAATAAAAAAAACTTAATTTCCCGAAAGTTTCCATCATTCTTTCCAACACAAATCGCGTTTCGAAATTCTATCCACATCGTATATACGGTGTTCGAACAAGAAAAAATCGGCTCGCCCAGGCTCAACGAATGCTCGCGTCGACACGTTCGCACGTCGACACGTTTTTATTAAACGCAAGGTACCCTCTTACAAAGTACGAAACGGAATACTGTCGCAGAACGGTTAGAAATTCGCAGAATATCGCGTTGTGCGTTATAATCTCGAACAGCCACATGCACAAGATCAGCTTGACTTTCTTTACGCGAAACATGAGTGCGACCTGGGTAGCGAACGCGTCCGCTAGATCATGCTCGCGCTTCAAAAATCGTCTGGCCGACAGACTGGAGCCGATCGACGAGCTACTGATTTTCTTCGGGAAACTGGAAAATATCAGCCCCGTCATTAAGGAGCTCCGATGCACCAATTACTGGCACGTGGGGCACGATCGCGCAGGAGCTGGAATCGCGGTCTCCCGCGGGAAGCACGCGAGGCAGGGTCCTCGGCGGTTACGGGATCGGCGACTGCACCAGAATGACACATGCACCAACCTAATACTCAATCCGCGGAACGCGGTCCCATGGCGGAACTCCGAAAAAGCCGGAGGCGACCGGAGGGTGCTCCAGTATCGAGGAGGCAACTATTCGCGATCTCGCGCGGATCCGGATCGATCGGCGGGGGCCAGGCGTGCTCGCTGTGATCGGCGAGATCGCGTGGACGAACCGGCACAGAAGAAAGTCGGCGTCGCGTTGCAAAAACTGGAAACGATCGTGGAAAACGCGCGCGCGGCCGTCTTCGTGAACGGTATCGGGTGCACTGGAGCTCGACCTGGCTGGCCTGTTTACATCGTGCAGGAACGTGCCGCGGCCACCACACCTTGCTGGGCTTCCGTCGCCTCGCCACCAACACACCGAGGCGCCGGTGAACTATCTCTCCTTCGCAACAGAAAGAGAACAGCTTTGTGACCAGTCGACCGGCGGTTGATTGGACTGTGCTCGCGATGCGGTGCGGTGCGATGCGATCTGCCGGCTCGCTTCGCCTCACCTCGCCTCGCCCAGTTGCCGCACCGCGCCGCCAAGAATAGGATCGATGCACAGCCTATAACGGCCGACGCAAATAGGCTGTGGGATTTTTAGCCCACGCAGGAAGGTCATGGGATCTCCGTGCAACGATCGATATCGCGATCCGTTCGGTGGGTGCATTCTTCCGCGTGAATCGCCTCCCGTGTCCCTCCCCTCTCGTGGAAACGCGAGGGACAAGAGCGTGCGACACACAAGGCTGCGATTATGAGACACGACACGCACGCTATCGGCATTTCCGAGTGAAATACAAGATACTTGTTCATTCGTCAAATACGTACAGACCGGGACAAATTGATGCGCGGACGCGTTTTAACCCTTCGCGCTGTAACAACGAGTCCGACTCGCGACGATTTTTTACGCGTGATCTGTTACATACAAATATCATTTCCTCGGAATCGAAACGAAATTAAGTGAGCAAAGTAAATGAAGACGTAGCATAAACAAAAATTGTCTGATTCTATCAGCATGATTATTGAGGACGAAGAATAGCTAATCGAAGTAGCTGCGAAAGAAATACTGCAAGTGGTTAAAACGGTATACTTTTTTAAAATTGATCTAAATGACATGAATTATTTTCTAAATGATAGGAGGTCCAGTCTACTAGACAATGACTTTTCTAAATTTTGCTGTTAACTTGGAATGACGAAAGATATAAAAAAGCTTTCGTTTTTAAACTATTTTATCTGACAATGAGCTTGTAACGAAAATTTAAAAAACGCATTTTGTAGATAACTTCGCTATCGATGTTTCCAGATTACGTAATAAACCTTGAAATATTTATTTAATACAAATAAAAAATGGTACCAGTAAATTGTGTAGTAAAAGTACGAGCGTGTGCGTTATATTCGTATTGCAACGTAATCAATTTCCAACGTTACCGATGCTTCCAACGTTACTGTCAGTGAACCGTAAGGTGTTAAATGGCACGTTGCCACTAAAAAGGTAGTAGATTTTTGTGCGAACTCTCGTATACATAAAATTCTATATAAAGACTAGGATAATGGAAAAACTGATGCAAAAGGTTGCTCCAAACAAAACCCGTAATTACAGTAACACATTGACGAGCTTTATGAAAACCAGGAAGAGAGAAAAAAAGCTTTGATCTAATCGACTAAAGGAGGACGAAAATACAGCAGAATTATCGTTCGTATAAAATCGTCGAAATCAATCTCGTGTAACATTTTATAAATCGGTGATCACCTTAAATGCCTAAGCGTTCGATCATCATCGCCTTCGTCGTTTTTCTCGAACAGGAATGATCTACGGTCCGCGAAAAAGATCGGGGAAAAAACTTGCTAAGCTAATCAAAACTTTTTCCTCGGTTTATTTTCCCGTATAGAGCCGCACGGGTTATACGCCACCGTCGAACCCTTCGTTTCCCCGTGAACGTAAACACATTTATTAAAAATTCATCCGCGCGCCAGTTTAAAAACCGATGGAAATTTATGAAACGACCTAATGCGTCGCGCTCGGCTGCAACGACGGGATGCAGCGTTCCGCGTCAGCTTCCACGTGGAAGCTTTCCCGCTGCTCATGGTGCGCGATCGATCGGGCTATTAATAATTCCGTTGATGCCGGTGTATAAAAAGGAGTTAAGGACGAGGCCGGTTTTCAATCGAATCGCGGGCTAACCGGCCGGAAAAACGAATCGGCGGCGAAACGGTACCGCGAGCCGGGGAACCCGGCGAATTATTTACGACGTCGACGCCGCGGGACGACGGCGCGCCGGGCTTTCAAGAAAGAACGATTGTCACTCGGTAGCAAATTGTTCCCGGGATAGCTGATTTCACCGCGCTATGAAAAACCCGTGTCCGACTCCGGGATGAGTTATTTCCCGTGACAGGAAACCGGTTTCACCTGGAATTCTTAGATCCGACCGTGATACTGCGCCTCGCTGTCCGACAGCTGCAGAAATCGTTTGCGTCATCCCGCAACCTAAATTTCGTATGCAATTGCGAAGAACATTCCGGATACCTAGTTAAGAGATTCATGGTATGGATTAAGTGCCTTTTCGATCGGTCGCGATGCTATTTACGATCCAATCGCCTTTGCCTTTGCGGCATGTTTCATACTGGAGACGCGCCATTAATACGCACATTTCAGTGGCACGTAAAAACCGTCGAAAAAAAGCTGCAGAAGTCATTTGAATATTGTGTTTACATCAGTGAAGTTCTTCGTGCAGTTAAGTTGTCAGACTTTATTGGATTATCATCTGTTTCAATTAGTAGTATAATTAGTATAGTATCGATGATTTCGTTGCATCAAATCTGGCATCATCGAGAAGAAAAATTTACTTCGATCTTATTTAAAAGTCGCTTACGATATTATAGTCCGTAGAGATTTATCATTTTAATTTAAAGAATATTGCGGTATTGTATTTTTTCGTGATTTTATGACTAAAAAAATAAATACATAAATAAAATATTTAGGAGCTTCTGATTCTGTTGCGATCGATGTAAAACATGATATTGCATTGATGCGAAATACGAATTGTATTCCATCGAAATAAAGTATACGAAGACAATAGTTTCGTCCAGTTGCGTCATCGCCGGACTGCGCATTTTATGCAGCTATGATAAAAATGAGTAGATAAAATACAGAACAATAGAAACATTTGGAGTACTTGGAGTCACTGTTGTGCGTTACCGTCAACTAATTAAAATATTTAAAAGAAGAAACATATTTTTACATTCCCACGTTTCCGGCAATTCGTGCAGACAAGCTTTATCTCGCGTATAAATCCACGGTCTAGCGATCGCATAATTAGCGAAGCCTCTTTCAAAATTGGCTAAAAATAGGCTCTCGGGGCCGATCGAAAGCTTCGCAGTCGAGATAATAATATGACATTTCAGTTAGGAGATCGCGTTCTGTTTGTGCACAGGCGTCGCGTGCGCCTGTGGACGAAGCAAACCTGTCCCGCCGTTAATGAAGGCGCATTGCATTCGGACTAACAGCGGATGATATGCGTGCGCGCGGCGCTGCATCGCGTTGCATTTCGGTAAATCGTGCTAGTAGGCGCGTAAGCGCCGTCCTTCGGCGCGATTGCAGCCGAGAGAGGAACGGCAAACAAATTCTTCTTCGCGTGCGTCGGGGAACCGGTCGCATAATGGCCATGCAAATGAGGAAGTCGATGCGCGAAGAAGCACGGGCGCTTTCGTTTTGTTTGCTCGGACAAATCCGTGGCGAGCGCCTCGAGCACTTAGAACTAGATTGCAGCCGTGCATTAGAGCGACGCAGCGGTGTGTGCGCGCCGCTGCAGAGAGCAACACGGAAACTCCGATAAAATGTTGATTTTATTTCGACGGAAGTTCGCTCGCGAAAGAGTCCGCCCCGCCGGATATTTATGCAATAGACTCGAACGGACTGCGGCGGCGGCGGCCGGAGACAAATTTTACGAGCGGAGAAATTAAAAAGCTCGTTCGGCTCGACGGAACTTCTGCCGCGCGCG